CTGATTTTTTTTGAAATTTCTACGAGTAGTGAAGAAAACCAAAATATCTTTCATTGAAAATTCAAAACATATTTCAAGAATGTTATATGGTAGAGCCAAGTATCTGAAATACGCACGTAAACAACTCTGCTCGCACTCTGCTCAGGACTACCACTTTTACTCAGTTTGTTGAAAGTTCAAGAAATTCAAATTTTGCGCGGCTAACAAAACTTCACCACTTGTCCGGTTTTGGTTATTCCTCACAAAGCTTTAATGATGCGGTGCCAATGTCTAACAAAAAATTTTTCATCTCAGTCATCTTACGAAAAAAGAAAGGAATACAGACAGCATCAGAATTTTGCTTTACAAGGCGTATTTGCGCACTTCCAAAAGAAAAAAAAAGCAAGCTCACAAAATCTTGTTAGTCTCCAAATTAATCTACCACTTCAGAGAATCTCCTCGTTATTTCATACAGATTTTCAGAAATATGTGCTTTCCTATTGTTCTAGATTTAGAAAAAAGTTTCATTTGGTTATCATACTTGTATTCAACATGAAATAGAGATTCAGAGGAAATTTTCGCTGACAATGAGATAAATTTTCCTGCTTAAGCTGAAAACTCTTCAGAACTTCTGGAAAAGAACAATTGGACTTTTCATCCATAATTTCCAATGGCCTTATTGCTAGGAATTTTTTCCCATTTTTGAACAGAATCTTGTCCGTATCAGAGCTTGCTTATGTCAAAAGAATTTCTTGCTATAAGAAAAACACCACTTCAACTATATTAAACCGCTTTCTACATTTGAGATACTCTGACAAAATGCGTCCTGGTATCAATTTTAGTCTGTTCAAATGTATTTGAAAATTTTTTTGAAAAGAAAACCGTCAGCATATTGTAGAATTTACCTCAGAACCCCAAAATAAGAAGAAATCAATAGAAGCGTTTATGCGGCCATTATGATTACACATCCACTTTTGGAATGATATAGCAAGCATTCTCTCAGCTCTCAGTTCAATAGACCTACGAAAACATCAAATCAAACTGCATTTCAAAAAAAAGATTTAATTCTATTTCAATTTTCTTTTCAAAAATCTCACCAATCACAGAAATGATCTTGATCGAAAAGAACCTCGTCGGTTTTATGTGTATCAAATATCTAGTGCAGTTTTTGACAGTACCAATCTTGAATCTCAACTTGAAATCAAAACTTTTCCAAAAATCACGAAAATTTTCAAATTTCTCATCACATTCGGGGTTTATCATGCGTCAAAGCATCCTCTTCTTTTCCCAGAGCATTAAAGTTCTAAGGAATACTTTGTTTTTAAGATATAGAAGACCTTTTTAAGAGGACAGAACACCGAGTCAACTTTTTACGCTTTCCGAAGATTGAAAAAAATTTTTAGAGGTTGATTTGACAATTGAAACCATTGCTAAATTGTTTTTTTCTACAAAAGGTCACAGTTGATTTCACTTGACACAAAAGCAAATTTTTTCTTTCCCAAGGAAAAACAAAATTAACAGTTTTGTAGATTTAAAGCTTCCGTAACGCAATCATTTTAATGATCGAGCTAATTTCGCGAATAAGGAGAACCAGTTTTGAATGCAAAATCGCATATTTTTTGTGGAAATCAAAACTTAGATGATTTGAAGAAAAAAGTCTGGCTAGAAAAAAAACGACATGTATCAGAAACTTGTTTTCAAAGCTTTCACCCTCAAATTTTCAATCAAACTCTGTTCCTCATACCGAACAACGCTGCCTTCCTGTACGATATGATAGATTCGCAATTTCTCTTTACAAATTAAAGGACTATTTGAGCTTTGCCACTAGACTAGAGCCAGCACAATGGAAAAAAAATGAAATTGCTAATGAAATTTTCGCATCCGCTGAATTCACCGACAGAAATCAAAGCTCGGCCAAGCTTTCTTTCTAGACGTCTAAATTCTACAGGAAGCTTATAAGTTTTCATTAGAACAGATCAACAAAAGTGTACAACCTAAAATCTCTAAAATTCTATGTTCTTCTCACATACCGAGGAAATAAAAAAGGAAGTATTCAGACGTGAATAGTTTTCTTTTTCGAGATTTTCAAATTTTCTCAATTTAAGGCTTGAGATAAATTTTCCTCGATTAATTGAAGTTTGTCTTAAATAACTTTTTCCGCACATCATGAGATACACATTCAGATATTAGATGAGACCTCTTTATGTTCTCTGAAAGTTTACCAAAATATGCGCAAAAGTATTCAGATTCAAAACAGTGAACACACTATTGGTAAAAACATCGGAAAATAGCAGTTTCCTCCAGTTTTGTGCAATTGCACAAACCAAGTCTGCATCACGTTGTTAAACGTAGCAATTCAGAACTACATTTAAGAATATTTTCAGAGAATATTACTTGTAGCTGAATGGAGATTGTTTTCAGAGAACAATTCTCTTTTGACCGAAACGCTTCACAGAAGAAATAACTTGCTGTTTGCCAAAAAAAAATCCTCAGTGCTTCTGAACATGTTGAGATATCCAGATTGATATTCTGATCGGAAGCAATGATCGCATTTTTTTGTGAAAGGTGATCAGCCGAATAACAATAAGCAATGAAGGCATAGTTTTTGTCACAGTGAAATTCATTCTTGGGAATGAAAAAGAAACTGTTTAGAACGTTTCACGTCAACCAGTCCTCGTTTTTTTACTAGAAAACAATGGTGATGATTTCTTTACAGATTTCAGCAGAGTTCAGGACACATTCCATAGAATTTTCTATATTGGATGTGGACGTTGAAGATACATAGATAGCTTTCATAGATTGCAAATTAGTCGTGAATTGCCACCATGGTGTTAGGATCATTTCCGCTGAAGTTCTTATACCTATAACTCAAAAGCTACATATCGTAGTTTCTGCAGTGGAAGCGTTCTATTCGTATAATTTGCTGTGCCAAAATGTACTGTAATTCATTTTGTATAATTTGGTTTGTATTTTCATGTTGTCTATGTCGAAAATGGGCTAATGCTTCCAAAAAACGCACTTTTTTTCAAAAAAAAATTCAAAAAAAGGAAACATCAGAACATGAACGACATCGTGTTTGTTTTGTTCATGAATGTAGTCTTGAATTTGGTCGCAAGACTGCAAGACAATTTTTAAATGCAACTCAGTTTGAAAAAAATCCAACTATCAGAGTTTTTTTTTCTGCTGTCGAGATATTTCTTAACGTGAGTTTGTTTACACCTATTTTGCCGCACCGCTGCGATTATCTATAAATAAATTTCTTTGAACCGGCAGTTCAAAGAATGGAAAAAAAATATTTTGTGCTAGGCAGCGAAAAAAAAATTCCTATTTCTCTAACACTCAAAATCTGCCACTATGTTGAATTAAACACAGTTTGTTGTGCTCAATTCTGCATCTAAATCTTCCTCTCCGTTTTCCAAGCGATTGCATTATTTATATGCTGTATAACCATATGTCACTCGGTTCAAATTATGCAATACCTTAATATATTACACTTCCTAAAATTCCACATGTAGCTTGACTATTTTTTGTAAAATATAACTTCAGAATCACTAATGTAATCCAATATCGCCTAACACTTTCTTAACTATGTAACTTCTGCTCACCACGCTATTTTCATTAACATGTTCTCAACAAGTTCCCTTCCAAACCATAATTTCCTCATATCAACATTCAATACCGGTCACATTATACTCCCATATTTCCACGCTAATTTTCCCATTCGTCAATTTCCTGCTATAATAAGCCTGTTCACTTCCTACAACTACATGTTACTGCCTCTCCCAAGCAGTCCCCTACGTCACATCGTTCATTCCGTATATCTCTCCGCTTGAGGACAAGCTCACTCTGTATTCCTAGGATGAGGTGAAGGTCGATGTTTGGTTATCCAATCCGCCTAAACCAACTCCTCCACTCAGTCCGTCTGAAGATAATGTACCGAAATCGAAGTTCTCTATGGTCTCGCCGTAACACGTGTACTCCTTACGCACGTAACTCGGAAGACGTTCAACAACAGCTGAACAAGCTCGAGGACGAGCTTTCTGAAGGAATGGAGATGTCGGGATGCAGCTATGACCCAACAGCTGCTAGCGATGGAGGTTGGCCTAAGACAACGAACCTCGGACAGTGACATCCGCCCGTCGGCAGGAGCCGTTTCCCTCTTTCCCCTTTCCCCTTCCCCTTTTGTATATAACTTGTATAATAAACATTATAGTAAGGCTCATGTAACCCCGCTACACATCAGGTAAAGGACCTGCAGACCTTTATCCTGACAATCCCAAACCCGGACCACTCTGGCAGGAGCTTCGCCAAGGTGTCCCCAACCATGTGCCAGAACCCCGCAAAATTCCATGGTATACTGGCGAAACAAGAGCATCAGGAATCTTACGACCCACCGGTGGGTCGTATTGTCGTGAATGAGTTAATGCCTTGAAGGTAAGCTGATAGGATGTGGCATAACCCTATACCTCACTCCCAAAGAAAGTTTTAGCGAAGAACATGTACCCAGTTCAATAGTCTAAGTCTCGCAGTTTTAAAAGGAGTAATTTGACACCTATTCATCTTCTTTATTCTGAGTAACAGTCGCTGAAAGCACAACCATAGGAAGGAAAAATGAGATAGACGAAATTTTGGTTGGTTTCTAACACCATGTTTGGCGCTTTGGGCAAAAAAGTAGTGCTTTTCATTGAGTTCTAAAGAAGTAGCTAACTCATTTGAAAGTTAGTCGAATTTTAACATGAGCATTTGCTAGTCCAATATTTGAAAGCCTCGAAATTCGCTAGAACTTGGTCCGCAGGGTTGTTTGACATGCCAGTTACGAATATATTACTCGCTATGCTTGGTAGGGCCTCAAGTTATGCATACGGCAAGTATACGGTAATGTTGGTTGGGGGGCGGGGGGAGGAAGGGGGGAGGGGAGTAATGGGGACACTCAAGGGAGAGGGTGTAGTATTCTTCAGTCGCGTGCCACACCTTTCTCGATTGTGATCTAGAAGCAATTACTGGACGAACATTATTCTTACCTGATATGAAAGCAAGTTTAGTGTCATTGGACAATGCATTGAGAAATTCGTCTTCTTTCAAATTGAAATGCGCTCCTTTCAGGATAATAGGTTTGGAAAAATGGTTTCGTAGCGAACTGAGCAAATCGTTGTAGAATTCCATGTCGTTGTTCCCCTTTCCATGCAGAGGAACCTGTAACTAACATATCAGTATATGTTACTGAAGGATACTTTTTGTTGATTTTTTTTTGTTTTATTAATTTCAGAAGCTTCCTAAAATTCTCAACTACATGGGCAACCTGCTCCACCCACATGATTTGTCTCGCAGATGCACCCATAAACAAAAACTTTTCGACAGTTTTGTGAGCATACTTGGATTTCCTTTTCTTTTCTTGTTTTTCACTGCACTCATACTTTTTTATTCCGGGATTTTAGAACACATTCCAAAGTGTCTCTCCTATGATGGCAGCCCCTAGCATTTCAAAAAAAGAGAAAAATTCTTGTACTTTCAATGCATCATTATAAAATGAGAATGAAAGACCGCAAAAATTGAAACTTATTCCAAAAAAAATACATGGGCAACAGGTCACCGAATCCCAAATTTGTAGTAAAAATCACACTCACGAATATTTTTATTATTGTCGGTTACAGAAATTTTTGGTGAGGAAAAGAGGTCAAAAAAGCAAAAAAAAAACACAAGATTTTTCACATGGCTTTTACTATTACGCAACATTTTCGCAAAAAAATTTGCAGTTTTGTAACTTAGCTAGGCTATTTCAAATTTTCGAGCCACATTCAGAGGCTGTGTTCCCCTCCTCTTCCCCTACTCCCGTTCTCTTTTCTCAAATATTGATCCACAAGAATTATAAACGTTTGCAAATTACTTTTAAACGTGGAAGTAAGAAATTCTAAATGGCCTTTTCGCCATGCTCACTTCGAAGTAATCAGGGTTATGAGCCCATTTACGCAAAATCTGAAGAAGATTCGTTTAGCACTCTAATACTTTTTTTAAAATAGAAATCTGTCTATCCACTTCTGCCCCAATAAAACCAAAATTATCGTTACCTTCAGCACAATAGCAACATGCTTGCTGTCGGATTCAGATTGAGGAAGTAGATAGTTGAGAACTTGACCCATAAGTGGGGTTTTACATGAGTTTAGCGATGGATCCTTACGACATCTCTGGACAGCATTCTTGAGGTAATCTATGCTGAAAAAAGCAATATTGGATTTATGGAAACGGTGAATTTTCTTTATTTTTAAACGGAAAAGATAGACTTACTCAGGCTGATTCAATGCTGAGCACTTATTCGGTGTCGTAAAATTCAGGCAATTTGAATAATGAGGGAGATTAAATGAATATTTTGCTCGGGTTGTCACTGGTTTGTGAACTGATTTTTCAACTACAGCATCGATGACTTTGTCGACTTCACACATCTTGCGAAATACCTCTAGCGTAAACAGCTGAAAAAATCGATATATTGATTTATTGATTATGTTGTGCGTACAAAGCTGAACGCTACCTTATTATCTTCAACTTCTAGAATAATTTTTGCTAAAAATTCCAAATCATGATAGGGGACAAAAGTGCCAACAGCGCTATATTGAATACAAGGGTCAATGTCGATTTGTCTTTTATTCGGCGCAGAATCCACACCATAATCGTTGTAGTCGATGGATATCGGCTCAAGGGTGGTGGTAGTTGTGAAATTTTCCATTTTTCGCAATCTAAATTATTATGCGCAATATTTTCTGCAAAGTTTGATTATTTAAGACGTACCTTGTATAAGAGTATATCCCTGAGCCATTACTGTAAACAACCTTTTCGACTGCGCTTTGATCTATTTTAAAAGTTTTCGCTTGTCTTCTTCTTCTAGTTTTTTCCAGAATTTTTTTTGCTTGCATAATTTCCTCTTTAGATGCTGCGGTTCTGAGCTTTTCGTACAAATCCGTAGTTCTTTTGATTGCATCCAGAGTCAATCTAGCATTAGCTAATGCTGTGCCTCTGGTCTCGAAACCCTAAAAGTTTCAAATAAAGTGATGTAACTCCATTGGGAATTCCATTATATTAAAAAGTAATTATACATGATTCTAAACTCGATATGTAGAACTCTGTTATAGTTCGGAGCTATAGCCACTGTTCTAAATAGCTAAAGAGCTGTACAAAAAGTTTTTAGTGAAAATCACTTCAAAATTTTTCTCAAAATTACGAAAAAATTTGTTGCATTGAGTTTTGTGTTTACAGGGGAACTTTTTCTATAGGAAAGGAAAAACCCTACACAATGAAATATTATGCTTTAATAAAATTATCTGCATAAAAATATTATAAGGAATTCTACTAATGTAGCCTAATTTGGAAACTGAATTATGTTGTTTAAGTCCCATTTGGGTGTTACAATGAAGCTCCTGCGCAAAAAAAATGAAAGTAAGTAAGCTCGGCTTTTTCTCAAATCTTATGATGCACTGTCTCTAAAGGCGATAAGGGGTCAAGAATGCAAAAACCGATTCCAGCGAGAAATACGAAGCAATCGGTAGATACAATGCATTCCTTGTATGAACTCTTTCGCTTAAAATGCGGTGAAGAAGCAAAATTAGATAATTCTGATTCCATAAAGGTGATTTGCGCTATTTATGTTTTCCACACATGTAGTTCCTACATGGCCCTTTAACAGACATTCTAAATGACTAAATCCTGCTCAATGGAAGATAAAAGGTCCTAGCACCGAAATGAAGAAATTTAGCTCGAATGACTGAACTTACCGTTGTTGGATCAAAGTCAAATATATCATAGTGGAAACTGATAGATATAGCTACAAGAATAAAGGAGACGGTTAGTGTAGTCAATATTACTTTCCATGGATGGCCAAGTACAATATTGAAATACCTAAAAAATTAGGAACTCAGAAGTAAATAACATGAGTTCGTACAAAATTAACTGCTTTGTTTTGTGCCTCGCTAGAATTTTTGCTCATTTTAGAATGTCGGGATTTTGTTAGAAAATCCCTGAAAGAAATTTCGGGAAAAGGGTTTTGAGCACTACTACCACGAATCGGACAATCCCATTGCAAACTCCTAATAACGACCAAACTTTCCCAGATCACCCAGAATCTTCCAAAACTTACCTGCTACAAATGGCCGAACGCATTTGCGCGAGTTTCCCGTCGTCTTGTGACGTGTGCAGCTTGTCCATATCGTACAATACAAGGGCAAAGCCCGCGTTGTCAGCACACTGAGGCGAAGAAAATGCGTTTTCGATCGTAATCCCGGAATCGACAAACACGGACACCTATTCATACCGCAACCATGCATGACTATCATAACGGCGAGAATGGCCGAGCCCCAAAGAAATGTCGGTGGCTGCTCGCTCTGCTTGTCATGGGTGGGCTGAGGACATTGAAATTAGTATTTTTGAAGTTTGGGGGAAAAGGACCGCGGCACAAAGACCATCATCAGGCCTTGAATCTCCAAGACAAACTATTGCTTTTCGCCTCTTTCATTTCACTACTTTACTTACTTTTACCTTACTTTTTCATGTAGAACTCTCGGAACGAGGTGAATTTTGTAGAGAATAAAATTTAAAAAACCGTCAAGTACCACAGCTCCAAAGAAGGCAGCTAGCGTTCACCAGGTTATGTATTTTTGAGATTTTCAAAGAGCTAGTAGACAATAAAAAATGAACTCAAAATCACCTTCAAATATCTCTCCCCTCCCCGTCCCGAAATCAAATCTTACTATTATGCGTCTTCAGTTTGCTAAAGTGCAATGTTGACTAGTGTTTGCACTATGAAAAACATCTTACGAAATGCCATCTATGTGCATCAAAATGTGTTTTTGGAAAAGGGGGGGGGGGAGGTCGAAACAGTCGCAAGGGCAATAAAGGTGTTTTCGGAGTTTGAGCTAGTCACGGCTTCCTCCTTCTTTTGTGTCCAACATAGGAGAAAATACAAGCGCTCATTATGGTAAAATTTAGGGTGATTAAAAAAGCAGTGAGAACGGTTGTATTGTAAGTTCTATGAAATAGCTCTTTTGTATTTTCGTTATATGGGCATCGGTAATCTTGTGAGTTCCTTTTATTCATAACAAAAGCCTATTGGAGATTAGGAGCCGTCGAAAATGGCAAAACTTTCATTTCTGAAGCTGAGTTCCAACATGATCCTTTTTTTTGATTTGGCTCCTTATATTTTTTTGATTTAGCTCCTTATAGCTTTATCGTTTACATACTAATTACAGAAGTTATGTTGAAACATTTTGGCATTCAAAGCACTAAAGAAATTCCATACTTGTCATTGATGCATGTCAATATGTGCCTAAGCAAACAGGCTTGGCACTGGAAAATTTGAGGGTAAAATACATGGAATAAAACGAATGTGCTATAAAACGCACGTTTAGATATCGCTTTTTCGAAGGCAGTGGATCGGCAAAACTCAACAACGCAGGATTTTAACATAGTAGGTTCCTTATCGCCCAAATATGAAAACAGTGCGCTCTCGGTTGCACAGCATTCCTTCCCTGCCGAGAAAACTGCTCTCAAACTTACATGCGCAAGCTCATCTTACAATCGCCCGGACGAGCTGGCAATTTCCTTCCCACCACTGAAGGCTGGCCGCCGCAATGCTATAACCATCGGGTCCTGCAACGATTCAGCGTCATCAGCCTTGCTCCACTCGTCCAACTTCAAAGGGAAGGGCATCGAAAAACGCACGTTTTCGCCGTTTTCAAGCTCTCTAAAGTGGATTTTCGGGATCAGCGTATTGAATAACTTCAGGTAAGCAAAAAACTGAGTAGGTTGAGATTTGCCGAGCCACTGCCTTTAAGAATAGTCAACAAGAATGAGTGGAAATCCAATCACTGGTAATACGTAGTTCAGGATTTTGAGACCATAATTTTTGAGGTTTAAGCTCTTTCAAGTCACAGAAGAAACAACCACACAGAAGAGGAAAATTTGTGCAAGCGAATTTTCCCTGCCCTCTGACTACTTCCTGCAATTATGCTGGAGTCAAAAAAAAATTTGAAACGCTGTTGGCGCTGGTTAGATGGAATTTCGTATTAAATGTACAACGAAGCATCGTTTTTTGCTGCCGTAGTGAACCTAATTTTGGCGCAAGTCCGTTTTATGATAACACAAAGTGCTCTTCGTCGTTTAAGATACATGAAAAATACGTAGTCAAAATAGACAGTCTTTCACAGCTTTATCTTCCCTTCAACTTGTTCTGAAGGTTCTACGGATTGGGGGGAAATTCGTATCTAGTTGTACACCAACGTAAGCAGTAGTATTGCTTATCTTTCACATGATTTAGGAGGATCACGAAAGATTCTGCACATGAGGGCTTCCTTGTAAGCTCAGCATTCTCCTCCGAGAGTATATCGAGTCTGGATCAAGTTGATGTGCAGAGCATAACTCTTCGGAGAAGAGTTATGCTCTGCACATGAGGGCTTCCTTGTAAGAATGCTGAGCTTACAAGGAAGCCCTCATGTGCAGAACTCCTCTATCTCATACTCATTAGGGTTAAATGAGGCGTCTTATTGCAAAACATCTTTGTAAAGGAGCTAATTCATTCAGTTTCCGCCTCATAAGCTGAAGTCCTAGCATATTGCAAATATTTGATCCTCAACAGCAGGGAAACTGTTTGAGGTTTAAAAAACTTAGTTTTATCTATATGACAATTTGGACTCAAGATCCTATCATTGCAAGTTTACATGTCCTGATTACTAACTTGATGTGACGCAGGTATCCACCTAATTAGGACGTCAGAAACTTTGAATATTAGAAATCAGTAAAATAAAGCTGAATGTCTGTTTGCCCGTGAATATGTCTATATGTGTATTTGTGCGTAAGTTAATAGAAAATTTTATTTCTGAACCGATCCGGACCAAACTTGGCACACTCATATTCTGAGGTGGGACGGGTGTCGTAGGCTACTTTTCGCCGTTTATCGATATCCATTTTATGAATTTTTGCAGTTTACACAGAGGGTGTGTGAGCATCTGATTACGAGGACACTAGACATGGTAGGGCGGCGACGGGTAGCCAGCTAGTTATGGAACAAAAGTTACAAGTCAGGTCGAATTTTCAGTCTTTCAGGAAAATAGACAATCGCATCGAACAGGTAAGCTCGGGTGTGTGCGTAGTGCGCATGAGCATAAGCTGTACATCTCGAACAAGGGGGCGGGAGGGGGATTTGCAACCAGTTCTTTTTGTGAAACAACTACAAATATAAAGCAAAGTTGCTATTTTATTTCACGTCTTTCTTACAGTTAGAGAGCAATTTAAAACCTTTCGCAGCGGGACTCTGAACTAGCGATTATTTTTGGGATTCCCAGCTTCCTGATAGTCATTGATATAAAGGTAGCTTAAGCATGCAGCGCAAGAAGGAAATTTCGACTCGGGATTAACCGGAATCATATAGGTAACAAATGTGGCCTTTTTACTTTACCTTCAAATTTTAGTCCCTGCAAACTGCACTCTATAACAGTCTTTTTAAATTTGCTTTTATCAAAAGGGTTGATGCTATGAACAGAGTGCATTGTCTTTGTTTTTGCGTAACACTGACAAGGTGGTCAGAAATCGAAGTGGCCATCCAAACAAATGATACCTTTAGATGGAGCATAAAACGCTGATTTCGAATCTGTGTTCCATATCTGCTTAGTATGTGGGCGGAGTTATGAACCGTTGAAGGCCGTAGTTTTGCTGAGAAGATGTGCATGCAAAGCGCAAATTTGGCAATACAGAGCCATGTTTGGCATAACGCTAGGCCAAAACATGCAGTTATGTTACTTCGAAGTTTACAGCCTAAAGGGCCAAGCATACTTCACGCGCTTTCAGTCGCGACGCGATTTGGCAATTCGCCAGAAGTCCTCAGATCCAACGCTAGCAAACTGCACATGCATAATGTGTATAACTTACGTGGATTGATAAAATGCTCTATCTTCTGTACATTTATAATGTGCTTACAATGATTTATGGACACCTGGAATATTGCCAAACCGCGTCGCGACTGAAATCGCGTGAAGTATGCCAGGCCCTTAAAGGGGAGCTGAAAGTGCAACAATCTGCTCAATTTCGCAATTTTCATGTACTATTTTCGCAATAAGACCATTCATAACTTCGTTCACAAAGGTGCTAAGCAGGTATGGAATACAGATCCGAAATCAGCGTTGAATGCGCATCGAATGGAAGGCTTGCTTGGATAGGCCACTTCGATTATGAACATTCCCCTGTGAGTGCTTCACCTTTCAGATGACGCGCAGACGCCTTTTCAACTCACTAACAATGCAGGGTGTCCCAAAAATGTATTGATCATCTGATCTGTAATATTTTTGTTGTTGAAAAGTTTTCGCCTTTTTCATCAGCATATTGTGGGAACTCAGAAGCGCACAGCGTCGTTGTGGATTAGCCGTGTTTCAAGGATTAAAACCACTGGGAATGGTAATAACGTTGTCGAAACCAAAATCTCAATCAAGTTCCTAAGGCTTTGGCCATACTTTGCCCGTGTTGCCGATGTTTCCATTGTTACTCGTGTTACTCGTGTTGCCGATGTTTCCAGTGTTACTCGTGTTGCCGATGTTTCCAGTGTTACTCGTGTTACTCGTGTTGTCGATGTTTCCAGTGTTACTCGTGTTACTCGTGTTGCCGATGTTTCCAGTGTGATCGTGTTACCACCTTTATTGCTGTTGATTTTCGAAATGATCGCCAGTACATTTTCATTCTTGAACGCAGTCTCACTGAGTGGTGAGTATACAGGATCTGAGGCGATCATACTGCAATAATGATACCATGTTATCTATATATATATATAAAACCCAATGTCTGTGAGGATGTTCGTTTAGTTGTTCGTTCGTTATAGAAACGCCAGCGATTGAACCGATTGAGCTAAAACTTCGCATACATATGTTTTCGACCCCGCCGGTGGTTTACAGCTACTTTTTACGGCGATTCGCAGAGTCCTTCTATCGATTTATTGATTTGTTTACTTAAATCTCGAAAAATGAAAGCTCGACGTGCTCTAACCAATCATTTTCCAATAAACATGTAAGCAGGGGTAGTGAAGTTCATTCTAATCTCAAGGTCGACAGGATGCAGCGGGTTCGTCTCAAAGCGCTTTTCGCGCATTATGGAAGTCAAAAAGGTAAGTATGATCGGCTTCCAGATTCGTGTCGAGGAGGGCTACGGACTTCCTGATTTTAAGGATA